TCGGGAAAGCCTCAAACCTGCAAACCGGATTTCAAACTTAGAAAAAACGTTGCCACATCACCACTACTAATTCTACTAGTATACGGAAATCAATTTGATGTGAAAACCAGAGCACATAAGTACTTTTAGATTCTGCACTGGACACCTGTTTAACCGTGACACGCTAATTTTTTCATAGGCAAAATATCACTAGCACGGTCCAGTTGCCTCAGTTCGAAGATGGCGTTCATATGTTCATTGGAACTTATGGGCAGTAAGCATTTGCGTTCGTCGATTGACTGCTCAGATGGTCTTGTGGAATATAAAACGGCCACCGTCAGTTCATTCGTTTTTACTTTAAACCGCTGATCAGACTTACATATTCTGGCTCATATTCTCGGTATGCCAGGGTGTAGGAGAGAAAATTAGGGAGCCAGTTATTTCGCTGCTAGATTTACTTTTCGCAAGTTTAAAATGATCCAATTCAACGTACTGGTCAGCTAAGAAAAGACTGAGGTAACTGACAGATGATATGGATCGATAATATTAAGACTAGCAAGACTGATTGATGTACATATGCGTGTCCAATTGAGGAAGTCTTTGTGGGGACATGCAAATTTCTAATAATTACGGCATCTTTCACGTTGACTATACATTTGGCAGGGTCTGTAAATTGCTCTCTACAGATAAATTTGCTAGAGGTGTACGATTATATGAATGGTCCATGGTGCTAACTCGTAAATAGCCTTGAAAGGTTTCTTTGGATTGGTGGCTACATCCATTGTGCCGTTGGGCCCTAATACTCATTTCAGAGGAGTTTCGAAAGCACTAAGTGGATTAATTCCCGTATAACAGCACCTAGCAGTAATCTTTAACAAAGAATTGGAACGCACAAGTCAACCAGACTTCACTTAATCCAATAGAAACCCATGACCTTTTTAACTGCCAGCACCACTAAAGAACCCCTAAACGCCCACAATTTATGGGTTCGTTGACCGTTAGAAAGTATTATTATTATTATCACTATTATTATTAAGAAAGTATTACTATTAAATACACCCACATATACCATGGAATTCAAGGAGCTCGTGACATGTTCATCTTCCAGTCGAAGCTGTCATGTGAAAAGCCAAACAATGTCAAGCAGTGAATCCACCATAATTTCCTCAACCTTTGTCGTCTGTGTGTTTTCTGAAGGTCAAATGGAGCAAATTATACTGTTCAAAGCTAAGCTATCTTGACATTAAGTTATACTTTGTTTCCTCCAACGTAGGTACAAGAAAACAGAGTGGATTGTCAAATCGTTCTGCGTGAATCCGACCTATCTACGGTACAAAGACGAAGGTAGAATGCCAGATCTTCGAGTAAGAAGATTCGGTTCTAACAATCCAGCTTTTATATTTAGCACTGGCAAATTCCTTTCGGACGCAAATTCCGCTCACTAAAGTTATGGTTTGTCATGCGTCGCTTTGGTGTGCATGGATTGCAACAATACATTCGAAATGTGAGTCGTGCTCAGTTCGTATCATTTCAGCAATCTAGCATATTGCCCTGGCACACAAGTTTGAGCGACTGATGCTGTCCGATCAAAGGTTCGAAATCGTCCACAAAGTGACCATGGGGTTGGTTTGCTTCAGAATCAAGGTGAGCTATGTTTCACGGCTGACTTTTGTTGGTCTTAAAAATTGCATTTGCGTCTCTAAAAGTTGCGTGATGCACTTAAACGATTTGAAAGACTGACAGTGAACTAAGTGCTGCAAATGTTGTACAATTACTTATGTCCATGCAATTGTCACATATGGTGCTACCAGTGAAAAGAAGGAGGCCTCCGATAGGGAGTCATTTATCAGGGAAACACCAACTGAAAGGTGGCAGACTATTGGACAGGGGAGCGAAACTCTAATATGCATCTTGTTCACAAAACTGAATATCCACCTTCTCCGTGAACGCGTCTTCTTAGACGTTTCTGCATATTCACTGGCGGTCACTCGAATGCAAGCAAATGCCACAGAGCGACTCCACAAATTCCGTAATAGATCTCACTTATCAAGAGACGCGAAGTGGATTTATGAGAGAACATACTACTCGCATGCCTCCAATCAGTAGCATCACCATTACACCAGTAGCGCATTGTTGAACAGGCCGAGTATTTTTAGCGGGAAGCCGAAGCATACCGCAGTCGATGATGGAAATTCGATATCGGTCTACACCACTACATTTCATTGTTTCTAGGGTTTGTCTCGGTGGCCTGATTGAATAGCACCAGCATTGATATCTGGTCCTAGGTACGAATAACTACTAATTACCCCTTATGGTGACAAAATCACGCCTGGGGGAATGGGTTATCAAGCCGAATTTGCCAGCGCATGACCACCTCCTTACTGATGAGAGCTTTACCATTCATGTTTACATTCATTCCGCAGGGAGAAAACGAACTAACAAAGAAACTCTATCATGATATTGAGGCGGACGGTAGAATTCATCTTACTCCGTCGGAGTTTCATCATCCCGAAGAAGTTTACTTCATCCGCTTTGCGGTATGTCATCCAGAAGCTGAGGAAGCCCACATCAACTACGCATTTCAAGTGATCCAGGAGATAACAGACCAGCTCATACCAAGACCATGATTTTTAGGAATCATTAAGCCATTGTGGAAAAAAATCTGCTCAGTTCATTCCATGATTATACAGCATCATATGAAGATGACTACACAAAACTACCTTGTTACCGTTTATCTTCTTGTATTCCCAAAAGAATGGTTTCTTCACTCAAAACCTGAGACCATCGAAGGGACAGATATTTCCAAACCCAAATGTTCCGAATAAATCTTAGCTTTACCGTGATGCAGAAAGTCAAGGCAGGTGAAAAAAAAAAAACAAAATAACAGAGGTGTAAAACTGAAGATTTCAGATGTGACTAAGCTTGTAAGGTAAACAGATATTGTGTCCCGGAATTTTCTGTTTGCCAATTACTGCCCAAATGATGGCTAGGTGCATATGAAACAAAGTGGGGAGTGTGTTCCAAGGTTTTGGGCTGTGCCCTGATTTGCCAAAGCTGCTGGCAATAAACGCTACAAGTGCTGGTGATCGATTGTTGGTTCCTTGATCTATTCCTGCTTGCTATCTATGTGGCTTTATGCGGTCACAAAGTTTGAAAAAAGTAGCATGGTGGAATCAGTTTAGGTTTTGCTGCAAGTCATTTGCTCAACCTTACAAAGCAAGCCTAAAGTGACTTTCTTGTGTCCTGGTTTATCTGAGCCATCTAGATCGACAGTAAGTTGTGTTTGCGCATCAGTGAATAGCCGAACGTGTGGTCATGTTGTCAGCAGCCTAGAACACAGCCTAGAGGACACATGGATGAGGTTTGTATGATCATCTGATGAATTGTGGTGTTTCTGTCAGAAATTGCTGGGGAATATGAGCACAGACCCAAATGTCCACAAACAAGCACACGATTGTTTCCTGGTGAACCCTCAATGCTTTGTACAGCTACCCCTTGTGAGGCAGCTATTTAGAAAGGATTAGGAGAAGACATTGAGCCAAATGCTGCCACATCTCTAAGCGGTATGCAGCTGTGTCTATCTGTTTCTCGATCACCAGTGAGTGTTAGTCTGTTCAGTACCTCCACGTGTCGGAGAAAATCCAAATGTTAACTGGGCTAGAGGTGCGGAACGCTATCCAGCCCTATTTGAACTGTTCTTCTTTTATTCCTCTGACGACTACTTGTTACAGTAACTATTCCTTCGTCTGATTATAAGTATGATGATATTGTATGTCGATTCCAAGTCATTCATTCCAAATGAAGCCTGAGATACTTCTGAACCTACCTTCCTAGGCCATTCTTATCACTGTCGCCATTGGACGACCCCAGTGAGCCATTATTCCAGTGTGCTCATGCAAAGACAACTATAATCAGGAAATATATAATAAATAATTGTTTCACACCTCGTTTGGCTGTAGAAGTTAAGTGAAGTCATCATCGTTCATTGTAACACCCTTTCCAATAAATCCACATTTAAGCGATGAGAGAAGTGAGATCTTTTATCTTAGATAAAGTTCCGTCATGATTCCAAGAACCCTGTGCTGAAATGATGTGCTGCTTTGCTCATTGGTTGATTCACTGAGGTAAAAATACACATTTCACTGCTTGACTTGTGCACCTATTTCCAAATCAAATCAAGGCGTTTGCTACAGTACGACCCTGCCGGTGCAACCGGTAACCCCAAATCGGCGATTTTTGAATGGGCCTTTGTTCAAGAACTTAAGTGTTCCAAGACAAATTTGAGGCTTTCGTTCAGATACAGATAAAGAAAAGTATTTGTGGTGATTCGGGAAATAAGTTGCGTCAGAAATTGATACTAGAAAGGTGGGAAGTCATCACTGAGGGCCGGCTGATCAGACGTGTTGAATAAAAGCGACAGTTACGGTGTTGTGGTCACTGTTGAATGGTTCCACTTACAACTAGCTTGTGAAGCGGTTTCATCATGTCATACCCGTTCCTGAGTGGGGGATTTCGGGGAGTCGGGAGCCTGAGTCGGGCAATCCGTTCTAAAGGGATAGCCAAGTGTGTAATTGTGAGTAAGCGATGGGACCACAGGAGAGACAAATAAGCAGTGGGCATTCATCTTTATCGAAAAATACCGATATTTCCAGCTTTTTGCAGTTTGTTCACTCTCCAAAACCGGCTTAGCAATATGACACTGCGTCCGATTTGTCCACTCCACTAGTCTGTACAAATAGATGGGCTGTGGTCAACCTAAATTTTCCAGCAGGCGCAGCTAAATCAGTTGTGATTAACCGACTGACGCAATCAATTGCATACGTTAGAATTTAAGCCTGTCTAAAAAACGATGTGTCTCTAGGCTTAATCTCCAAATTAAAGATGATAACCTTGCAGTATATTACATCAATGTTGATTTTCTTATGGGAAACTAGAGATTTCCTACCGCTTTTCCTGAAACAACACACACTTCACAACGCAGTACAACTAACATCACCTACAGAAAGCCATTTTCCTCCTCTCAAAATTCGTTGCAAAACGCTCTTTTATTATGATCACTTAAACAACATGGCTCATTTTTGTCACTCAAAACATGCACAGGCATTAATACACCAAGTTCCACAAATAGCCTCCAACCAAAGCCGATGTTATGCTACGAAGTAGCATCTTACTCGGTGTGGCAGAGTTATGGGGCACATTCAGTTGTGCTTGTAGTGCATATCGTATGCGTTTTCGATAACTGTTACAGTGGTATAGTTTATATCTGATACGTTTTACTTCACCTTGCAGGCGTCTCACTTTTCGAACTAGATCTTTTATTTTCGAAATTTGTCGCACGGAACGATGGTTCGTCGAGGTAGGTTTCACAGAACTAGTGTGACTTGATGGCCGGCGCAGAACTTTGGCAACTAGGAAAAACGTTCGACTTGGAGATAATAAAACGGAAGCGCGTGGTAGAGCTGCGGATTTTTGCGTGTTGGGTGTTTCAGTTTTGTCACCATCTGCCTCCGATTTATTGCTGGAAGTACTTTTCGCAGATTTCGACGCTATACCGCTTTTAACCCCCATGACATTGTTCCAGTCGCCGGTTTCATGCCTTCCTGGCGGACCAAATAACATGTTACCTGATTCCATTTCATAGTCATATCCCGGGATTGGACCATAAGCATCGGAATGTGGGCCATCAAAAGGCATCTCGGGTCCGTTATTTGGTCCATGCAAGGGATCATACATTGGTTCTTGTATGGGGGGTTCATGCTGAAGAAACAAGGGACCATGAGGCCTTCCTGGATGTCCCATTGTCCAGAATTTATCAGGAAATGCCATTCCACCGAAATTAGGATAACCGATTCCGGCAGGATTTTCAGGCTGATCAGGTCTTCCGGCAACATGTGGTGGAACTTCAAATCTATTGGGAGGGGCAAACATAGGTATATCCTGTGGAAAATTCGGACCATCATGTGAGATGTCATTTTGTATCGGACCACCATGCATGACATCTCTCGGGAAGCCTTTCTTATTCTCTGACATCCGGTTTTTCTTCACTTTCCTTTTCTTCTTTGCTTTTCTTTTGCTTGACTTTCCCTGTTGGGTTGATTTTGTTACAGTGTCATCTGTGAGCAGCTGGGAAAACAAGCCCAAGACCCTGTTGATAGTACTCATTTTTTCATCTTTGACGTCACCGCTTGGCCTGTCTGAAGTATCTTTCTGAATATTCCCGTCGACTTTCTCCAGAGAGACTTTTCCAACCATATTCTGGGAACTGCCGAAAACCTTCTTATCGTTTTCCCTTACAAGTGTTGGCACGAGCAATCGTCGGAATGTATCTTTAAGGGCTTCTGCGGTGGCATTTTTAGGCTCAACGCCATCGCTGCCGATCACTGGTCCATGGAAATCCCGATCTGGCACCTTTCCCACAGCTTCGGGTCCGTTCAAAGATGAGATCGTCATGTCCAAGGGAACATCATGAAAACCTTGAATCCTATCCATGTTATTTGGAAAGGACATAGGCCTGGGAGGCCCCATCATATGCGGAAAACCATTATGCTCATTATTCATTGGATGGAAAACTGGCTTTTGCATAGGTCGCCCATGTCTGCCTCCTCGTATAAAGTTGAATTCAGAAAATACCGGTGCAATGCTGTTTACTTCCACCTCATTGCCACCTGGCTGAACTTCGCTCACTTTTTGCCTCTCCAAGTTACCTTCGGTATGTTTTGGGGACGATGTAGAATATGTACTCCTCTCCATTCCAACTTCTCCAGCCGAAACTCTTTTAATAACAGATTTCATATTCTGTCAGAAATCACAAAAACGATGGGGAAACACTTGTCAGCAAAATGGCCAGTAGTATTTGATACGAGTGAACTTGTTTAACACATCTACTGGTTCTGGGTAACTTTAAAAGAACCAATGATGGGGAACTAATGTTTGGGATATCTAGAAAGAGTACGGAAATCCGACGTTTACCAGTGGCATATAAATTTCATCGACTCTGCAGCTTAAAAGTTCAGCAGACCTGACCCGAGCACAGATTTGTCATAAAGGTCAGAGTCCATAAGATGAGGGTCACGATAAGGCTTGTCACAACCACTATTTGGAGAGAGTTGGGTACTTTGAGATGGTTAGACGTACGGCTAGTGTACTGTGCAGCTAATTTTATCTGTAAGATGGGACTGTGCGAAAGAGCTTTGTGGAAAAGGGCGATATCTAGATGGTGAGTACTTTTTCCTAGTGTTCACCCATATACCCTTTCATCAGCGAATCAACCCGCCCATTCAGCTTAATGAAATTACAAATTGCCACGTACTGTTTCGGTAGGCGAATACTAAAACGCGGGGAACGTTGTTGCCCTTCTGATTATTATTTTTATGAGGCACAAACTTGACGAAAAATTGACAATGCACAGGTCACTCTTATTAGTTCAATCTTCAGCGTCGTTCATTCCAGATCTTTTTCAATGACGAAATTCGGTATAAGGTTTTTCGTGCACCTTGTGAGTGAGAGTACAATGCTTTAACGGTAGCTATCACCTGTTGCATTACGCCTCTTTATAATTGGTGTGACTTTGGGGCCCGCAGTGTGACTGAAATATGCCCACTCCAGTAGCATCGGGCAAATGATTAAAAGTCAACGTTTGCTGAGATGAGGGGTATAAAAAAGGGCTTTGCTTTATGATCGATGATGGCAATATCCTCCACAGTAGACTAACCAGCCTCGGACACCGGTCGCCATTGCTCACACATTCACTCCACATCCTTAAAAGCCACACAGGAGAAGGTAATCACTGATTAAAGTTACTGCAATCTGAATTTGGCTTAAACCGGTTAGCGTGTTTGATCTACCTATAGGGTACCTCTTTTCATAATGAGTGCTAACATACCTTCATCACTAACTCGAGCTAGCGTACGTTTGCTTCAAGGTGAATGGTATTGAGCCAGGGGCTGTTTTGGAGTCTAATTTTTTTTTCTGAGGCCGTTGCAAACTTTTTCAGTTATCTGCGCACAACAGTTTGGCACGCTGCTCCAAAGCACTACTTTCATAGGTTGGGTGTGATCTCAGGTCAGCTTGAGGCCTCCCAATCAATCTATAAAATGCCCTTACTGGTCGCTGTCCGAGACTCTGGTGTGCGCAATTAAATATCAGAAGGGCTATTTATTATTGCCACTCAGTGTCATGAGAACATAAGGAAGTGGGATACCCTAGCATCACAGAGCGGCGATCCACAATTCCCACACATAATGGACTGTTTTCTGTTACGTCACCTGTTAATGTCATTATCATCATCATCAGCAGCAGCATCATCGACAGCATGGTATCAGCGTTGAACGTTGATGCTTCGCTTCCCTAAAAGGCTGGTGCGGCACGGGTTTCTTTTATGTGTGAAATTAATGGTTGTACGTGGGATGGAATGCTTCCAGGGCACCAACACCCAAACAGGAGGACGATTAGGCTCTCATCCAAAGCCTTTAGCACAAAAGCCTGACCATAAGGCAGCGGTGTTTGGTGGGAAGTACAAGTACGTTTCAATTTTTACAGAACAAGCCATCATAGATGTTCCAAACTCTAGCCTGGAAAGCCATGAGTCTGTGTACTTCAGACCTCCAACCAATGACCCACCTGGTATGATGACTCAGAGTGTGTCATACGGAACCCCCCCCCC